AAAAAATTTTTTTTTTTTTTTTTTTTTTTTTTTTTTAAGACTACTTGTCTTCCTTTGAAGGCCTTCTTCCACAGCAAGTGAAGCATGAAGTGCTTAGGTAGTTTCATGTGTCAGCTTTACTCTAATCCACATCATCCTGTATTGTTTCAACAGTGCTTTGATATTTTGCTCGTTTCTCCCTGTTCTACAAACTCTGAATGCCTCAAATCTTCTTAACTACTTCACAGGAGTCAGATTCCTAACATGTTCAATATTTAAATATATTAATCTGATACATCTTTTACCTTAAACTCAATGATCAAACGCCCCTTTTCATATGGTCTGCGGTAAATGGGCATGCCCTCATTCAGGACACATTTAACATCTCCATGCTTCACAATCTGGCCTAAAAAACAAAAACAAAACCCAAGCACACAGGATAAGCTATTATTTGGCAGGCAGCAACAAGGGAAAAAGAGTTGAGAGTAAAGCAAACTAAAAAAATAATACAACATATGAATGATTTTAAAATGTCTAGTTTTAAAGATCTTGCAAGTCACATGAGGGAGTCTGCACACCTAAACTCCATTGTTCCCCTTTCACAACTATGCAGGCTTTTCTTTGCTGTCCATAACCTGTACTGAGATGGCATATAAAGATTTGTTCCCTCTTAAGGCTAAAACATCTCAAATAGCAGCTGCAGCTTGTCTCAACTCGGAAGCAATGAGTGATTACATTCTTTAAGTCTATTCATGCACCTTGAAGCCTACTTATGCAGCTATGCACTCTAATTGGACACTATTTTGTGACTTCTGAGAGCATCTTCCTGGGGAGACAGAACCTTCATGAAATTCCTATAAGAATGTAATGTATTTAGGAAGAGTCTGTTTATTTAGTAGGGAAATCTCATCTCTTACAGTAATTTGGCTGAATTGGACCACAAGTTCCATGTTACTTTAACTTAATGCAATTAGAATTAATGAGGTTGCTAGCTTCAGGCCAGAAAACTTGGGAAAAAAAACTTTCCCATCTTTTTAGGCTTTGAACCAGATTTATATTCTATCAGCTCCAATTAAGTTGCACTTAACACTTTAGACTATTTTGGTTCAATTAGTCCATTTATAGTCTAATGCAAGCAGCTTAACAGCTCTTCAGACACTTGCTAGATGCACTGATACTTAGTGGAAAAGAATCAGTTTGGAGCAACACACTTACCAGGATGAGAGGTAATAATTATAGTTCTATTATCCAGCGTTGTGATAGGTTTCTGAAAGCCACATAGTGCCTCAACTAGTTGTATGTCCATACACATGACTAGGTCCTCACCTCGCCTACATTTGAACAAGTAAAAAATGCCATTCAGTACAGTATTCAGTAAAAATTGGGTATAGTAAGCAAAAAGATTAGAGATTCGTTATACCTTTGATCTGAGAAAGTAATGAAGATGCTGTAGAACTGGGTTCAAAGGAGCTAAGTTAGAGGGCAAACCTTGATGACCAAAAGAGGGAGCAAGAGAGGTTAGAACATAAAGTCAGCCATATAGGAGCTGAGAGACTCTGCTATGGCAATGTGGATTTTGGATTGCTTTTAATTAAAAAGGAACTAAAAATCAAATCTGGAATCTCAAGATGTGGGAAGGCAGGGCAAGGGGTGAGGGGAGGAAAGAGAACCACTTTAAGTATAGAGCCCCATCCTCCTGCATGGGAAGTCTCAACAAGGACAGCAGAATAAGGTGAATCTGTAAGAAACTGAACAATGCCAATTAAAAAGAAAGTTAATTCTTGGCTACATACCTAAAGTACAAGTCATAAATTTTAGATGCAACTGAGAACTGCTGTACGTCAGTAAGCATTAGACCTGTTGTGATGAACTGGGGAAGGGGTGAAAGGCAGGGAAGGAAGTCAATTAAAACAATGGTACATGTATGTGCACTCAGGTCAGGGCAATCAAGATCTCCACTGCAGTGTTTTGCAAGAACAGACCAGTGGTTCTCAGCCAATTAGGCTCTAAGCACCCTTTGGTTAGAGACTCAAAGGCACCCCTCAGAAATGCCAGCTTTTAGCACTCACTTTTTCTTGATAGGGGGGAAGAGAAGGGGAGGGAGAACTTTTTTTGTTGCAAAGAATTCAGAAATACCAACACATCAAAATGTTATTTGAAATGTCTGGTTTTAAAATCTTGTAAGTTGCACATAGGTATCTGCACACTTAAACAGTGCTAATACTGCACAGGATGCGTAAAAGGATCTCATGGCACCCCAGCTGAGATTTAGTGGAAAAAAGAAATGCATGGGAGTCTCAAAGATTTTATGATACTTAGTCATAAAATTAGGTATCATGTTTTATGTCCCAGTATTTAAAGAAAAATTAAGCCAATATGAGCTTGTTTGACTTCACTAGTATTTCAGGTTTTAACACCCTTGAATTAGAACTGAAGACAAAAAATACAACCTAGATTTTTTTTTTTTTTTAAAAAACAGATAGAGGCACCAAAATGGTCAGATAAATCTTAGAAATTGGTGTGGTTTGTAACAAATATTATGTCATTTAGATTCCAGTTAACAATACCGCATTTGTTAGCTTCAAAACTATGATTAGTAGATTTGTAGCATCATAAGGAGTAGCTGTAGGGAAAAAAAGTCATTTGCTGCAGAAACTGGAAGATTACCAATACAGCTTTAAAAGAATTTGTCTTAAAAAACTTACTGAACATTTTAATAAACAGTGGTATAGAACTGGAGTAAGCTGATGAAATTTGATGACGGCAGAGCAGAAAAATATTCTGGGTATCTGCACATCCTCAGGGCTTCACAATAACCCTTCAAAACCTACTGCGGTGATATCAAAGAGTAGTTCAGCATCTTAGATTTTCTAAAAGTCCACCATTATGGACTGTATATGGAAAAAAGCAGTATAAATTCATTGTACTGATCTTGATGGATTACTGTTACCACCAATAAGCCATTATATGAAGGGTGTATGCCAAGCAGGATCCGGTACCAATAACGGATCCTAACGTTTGCTAGTACTGTTACCAACACAATTCTGGCACTGGCCTTGGTAAGAGTGCTGTTCTTAATAAACTCACATTTTATTACTAAATCACAAATGATCCATTATCAATGGTACTGTGATTCAGTTCCAGAAAATCAACTCATTTCCATTAGGAGCTGATCGATCTGGACACAGTGGCTCATGTGCCAAGAAATATGACAGGGAGCCCTAAGAGACTGGGTCCCTAAAATTAATAGTACAAGTATTCACAACGTTTCCAAGTTTTATTGGTGTCAGACTTGCATTGGAATTCTAAACTCACTGACAGTTAAAGGAAAAAAAAAAAACAAAAAACCCTCAGAGGTGACTGAAACTGCTGTTATACACACAGGTGAGAATTAAAAAAGGACACAAACCAGACACTTGCTGGTGACAAAAATTATGATCTCATTTATACGAAACATCTTAAACTTTACCAATAGGGACCCTGCCTAAGAACTGGAGTTTAGTCTGTTTCAGTGATGCAAGTAAAGCCAGAGTGCAGTGACCTGGCCTTAAAAGATGAAGGATTAAAGCTAGCATCTACAAGCACTTTGAGGAAAAAAAAATTCTTACATCTGCTAAGCACCAGAAGTACTGACCATTTTAAGATTAAGTGCATAAATATTCCTGCAAACATGCAGTGAATCTATACACTAACCAACTACTTGGCTTACTACAAACTAGCTTATAACAAACACCAGGAAAACAGAGTTAAGTGTTGTTCAATTCCAGAAATTAATAAAATGGAATCATAGTCTGTGAAGTTTTTGGAGAAGGATCTCAGAGTGTAAAAGGAAGACGTATGAAGTCTTTACCTTGTAAATGTAGGGTGGTCTTTTTGATCCAAGACGATAATGATATCACCTGGTTCCAATCCTGGCTCTTGGTCCCCTTCACCATGGAATGTTATTTTCTGACCATCCTTCATTCCTATTACAAATGGACTAAATTAAGACAAAAAGCTACAAAATAAAAGTATCACTTCAACAGATACCATCTTGTGCAAGAAAGCTCCTGAACAGGTTCTTGTATTACACAATTTTCAGTCTATACATACAACCAACCATCTCCATAGCCATGTCTGATCTAAACCAGGTGTGGGCAATATGCAGCCCATGGGCTGGATGTAGCCTGCCAGGCCCCTGTATCCAGTCTGCAGGGCCCCAAAAAAAAAAAAATTTAGAAAGTTTAATATTAATCTGCCCCTGGCTGCCTGTCATGTAGCCTGCAATAGCTTGCCAAAAACTTAGTAAGCAGTCCTCTACCCAAAATAATTGCCCACCCTGATCTAGACCAGGGGCTGGGATATTTAGCAGCAGGGGAGGAGTGGAAGTTCCATACACTTGAATCCAGCCAGCAACCCCCCCCCCCCCAA